AACGAAAAATGACATTGAAAAACGGATTTATATCAAGAATCGAGATTTTAATCGGATTTAAGCTTGATCTACACGTAGTTATCGCGGATTTATACAAAATATAGTCATAGGCATATCCCTAAACCATGCACGTAATCTCATTCATGACAAAAATAGCATTTAGAGTTTCTTTGAGGCAAATCTACTTGGGATTAGGGGGCTCCGTCCCCCCCCCACACACACACACCCCGTCCCATTTAACGAAACCAAAATTATATACTTTTTCCAGTGTCCGCCCCCCTCCCAGAAAATTCTACTACCGCCCCCAAAAAATTCAAGTACCCCCACCCCTCGCCGGGGAATAAAAAGTCTGAAAGAAACACTGGTCGCATTTGTAGATCATACAAACTAAAGGAAGAACCTGGGCGGGGAAGAGATGCATAAAAAAACTGTGCACGCTAAACACTTTTTTAGATTAGAACAAGTTCCCCCCTCCGGGGGAGGAAAAAGTCTGAAAGAAACACCGGTGTCACGCTTAGCCACTACCCGAAGAATTGCATGAAAGAAACTGCAAGCAAACCACTTTTTAGATTAGACACATTATTTAGGCGGTAATTTTATTATAGAATATCGATGAAGAAATTTCTTTTGAGTTGGGGGGGGGGGGGGGGGGGGGCTTAGACGTTGTTTCTCGAGGGTGGGGCTTCGTCCCTACCCGAAGAATTGTAATGAATGAAACTCTTCACGCAAACCACTTAGATTAGACAAAATTGCCTTTTTTATTCAATGTTTACTCGAGAATCAATGACGTCATATCACTGTGTGCACTCACCGGCTTGATACTATTTTCTACTATAAGCTAAATGTGACGTCATATTTCGTTTCCGTTTTACTATGCATGTTTTTAAATTTGCTTGTGTTTTCCCTTGTTCTTGTCAGTTACATAGACAGACAGACAGACGGACGGACAGATAGATAGATAGATATCTTGTTGGAAGTGTGGGTGGGTGGGGGCGGTAATTACCCAGGGAGGTAATTGACAGGGGGTAACTGACAGGGAGGTAATTGCTCTGAGGGGGGGGGGGGGGGAAGGTGGGTAAATACGGGGGGGGGATGTCCAGGGAGGGGAATGTCCGGGGGATAATGTCTTGTAGCCGTTCAGCACATGCTTTGGTCTCTGTTAGGATTGTTACATATAAGTATTCGCATAGAATAGGAACGATTGGGAGGGAAGTGACTTATAGCGCAAGAAATTTAGAGGTTAGGTAGGGTATAAATATTGTGGTTTGGAAAGTTTGGCGGTCCATTCTCTAATAGTAATAGGCAGTCTAGGTCTCGTTGGTAATTTCAAACAATAAAGAAGTTAATTATATACAGACTTCGTGTTGGTTTATTGTCGCCCATGTCCTCATCTTACATCACTAAAGTTGGGTGACGCTTACCTTGTCATGTTAAAATAAATAGCATGTAGTTGAGTTAGTTCGAAGTGAGTTTTCATACAAGCCCAACGCACTAATTAAGGATGTCGCAAAAGATATAACATATGTCAATGATGTCTAGTGCAGTTTACGAAACTAACGACCGTCGCTGATACTTTTTCTGTGTGCGCATTTTTTCTGTTTGCGCTTTTTCTGGTTTCTCATTTTTCTGTTTGTGCTTTTTTCTGTTTGCGCTTTTTTCTGTTTGCGCTTCTTTCTGGGAACCCTTTGTGAGAGATGAACCCGTTAAATCCATCATATAGGCTACAATAAAATATACCAGGAAAATTAAAGGTCTGGGCAGGGGCGTAGCGAGGGGGGGGGGTGTGTGACTGCACCGGGTGACACCATTTAGAGGGGTGACACCAAGGCAAAAAATAGCAAAATATATAGAGAAAAACTCGAGGGGGGGGGGGGTGCAAATCGAAAGTTTGAGGGGGAGGGTGCAAATTGAAAATTAGCTCCCGAGGGGGCGCCAAATTGAAAGTTTGTCCCCGGGCGCTGGGAAGGGTCGCTACGCCTCTGACAATTTGTTTTCTTAGAACCACAAAAGTAAACCAGGGATGTGACCAGACCAGGAAAAAATATTAGGAAATTTTCTTCAGACAAGAACTCAACGTTTTATCTATTTTTTTTTATCGCAGTTAAAGTAGTCTCACACCGTTACTGTACTAATTTAATGTTTAATGAAGCTAATATTTTAAATAAAAGAAGTTGATGTTACTATTACACTCTAACATAACAATGAAAGTCTTGTCTGATTGCAATTTAATGTTTAACTTATATTTTATAAACAACCTAAAAACATTTACAATTTTATTTTAACATTTAGCTAATTTAAACTGAACTAATCTAGTGAAGTTGTACACTTGTTTTCAATTTTAAATTATGCCTTATATACTTTTAAAGATTGGCATGGTAAAAATGTTAGTCTTCAACAGTAAACATCCTAGATTTAGATGGAAAATGAAATTGACCAGATTAGTTGAAACCATTTTAATAGCCAAACCACATCGTTATTTATGTTTTTGGAATAGCTGTAAATTGTTAGGGGTCATCCATATGTGAGCGGGTGAATTGATTGTTTATTTTGTATTATTTTATTGGCTGCGAATCTGTGAGTAAATGGTCCACTGGACAGCGGCTACGGGGTTCCGTAGTCAGCTGTGGTCAGCAATTTTTTTCAGTCATCTAAAATGAGTCTTTTTAAGGTAAAAAAAATAATTGAAAATGACAAAAATGCGTTTTGGTCACTTTTATTTTCATTAAAAAAAATTTGTTTTGGACATAGAATAACTCTAAAACTATTTTGTGGGTAAAATTAACAGGAAGAATGTGTTCATTATTTTCAAAAATCACATGTGTTAAAATATTATTAAAAAAAAATGCCAGCTATCTAGAGCAGGAGAAACAGAATCAAAATTTAGTGGAGTAATGTAATCTAATAAAGACGTGATGCCTACAACAAGTAATGCAGCAGTTGCTGCTACATTCAAACCTATCGGGTTGATAACCGCTTTGGGGGAACAGTTTTTAAAACGACAACTCCACATCTTTGTACATCTTGTTTCCCCCAACCTTGATCTTGTGGAGCATCAAGAGTAAGTGATATGTTTTGGGAACTGTGGGGGGGGGGGGGGGGCGGCTTGGCCTTATTTCCTTCCCTTGTAAGGAAAGTTCTGGATAGGCCACCATAAATGTCTCCAGCTACTGAATAAATAATTGATTTAGTGATTAATAAAATATAATTAGATTTACTACTAGCTTTTTGTGTAGGAATCACGTTGGGTTCAGTTGTTTTTTACTTTCTCGTATATACGAAGTATAGAGAAAGTCTAGTAATCGTGCAAAAAAAAAATCAAAATCTCGACGTTTTACATCTCACTGATACGGAAAAACATAATTTTGCAATGTTGTCCGTATGTCTGTCTGTAAACACGATTACTTGAGTACTGTTACAGCTAGGTTGATGAAATTTCATGTATAAGTATTTTATCAAATTCGTAGATCCGTATCAACTTTTGAGCGATTTCCGATAACCGGAAGTGGTACTTTTTCTACTTTGAATTTTTCAAAAGCCTATATATAACTTGAGTACTATTTCAGATAGATAAATGAAATTTCACATGTAAGTAAAAGATCTAATTCTCTACCTTCTGTTAAATTTTGAGTAATTTCCGTTACTTCCGATTTCTCAAAAAACTAATGTAAATTTTGAAAGTACTAATAATATTGCGCTTTATTTTGCACTTTTTTAATTTGGCGTTCACTTGGTGTGCAATTCTTTTGTCTACGAGATTTTATTCTATTTTTAAAACTTTAAGTATTTAAAATGAATTAAAAATCATGTCTATAGCCCGAGTTCCCATCCTCTTTTATTTTATCTATATATATAATTCTCTTCTGGGAGCCGTTAGAAAACAAGCTGCAAAGCGCCTCCTTGCAGTCCCCTCTCTTTCTCTCTATCACTATCACCCCCACATTGTCTGGTGAGCTGTGGTTACGCTAAATGTTTACAAATCGTAGAGACGTAGAGCCGGGTTTCTATTAGGGGCAGATAATTTAGTTCGATTTTAAACTTACAGGAGGTAACTAAGAAATAACTAAGAGGAGGCTGCTTTCACTGGAGGTGGGGGGGATGGGGGGTGTAGGGTCGGGGTTAGGGGAAAGGTTGGGGGGGGGGGGGTAGTGTTTTAAAGCAAATATTTTCAGTGGCAGCATTGGTACTGTCGAATTCACAAATTATGAATTACTGAAAAGTAGAAAATAAAACAACTAAATAGCGGCGTATGATACGCTGCGGGTCGGCTCGTATAAGAATATTCGAGAAAGTTTAGGGGAGATCCCTCCCGTTTATTTGTTTAGTATCCCATAAAAGGCTATTAAATTCTGCACGTTTTACAGGTATTTGTAAAGAAATACGTTGTACGGTCAAAAAAAGGGCCACGAGTTGAATGAGAGAGGGGTCAAAATCCGTTACTCGACTGCCGTTGAAAAATCACCTCGGTGATAGTTTTCAATTGGTAAATGAGATATATTGTTTAATATCAACAACTACACGTAATTAGAGGGCTTAAAATCTACTTTTTAATGGTACCACGCTTATTACTATACGAGCTCTTTTAATTATCGAAACTATTAAGTGAAAAGCTACTATAATTGGGCGACGCGGGCGAAAAATCAGTTTTTTACGGCAGTTTGACACCCCTATTATTATATGTTGTAGAGTAGGGTTTGTTTATATAACGACTTGAATTTATTTTATAGTTGCCCTACTTCTTTACATTATCAGTTGGGTTTGTGAGATAGGTGGCAGGCTACAACACCAAGATCTTCTAGCTAGTTTTAGTAGATTCCTGTGTCATTGGTTGTAGCCTTCTGTTTGACCCAATCATTTGCCATCAAGAATGAAAGCATGCATGAACAACACAAGATCATCAAGTAGAACATCTTCTACAGACAGGTCAAGAAGAGATTAGTTTTTCCAAATGACATAGTAATCTGAAAAGAAAGCTTGTCAAATTATTAAAATAAAACAAAATCTTAATTTGACTTGTGCTATTTAATAATCAGTTGCCTACATTTTTTATGAAGAATAAACATTGAATAAACATTATAATTGATTAGCATTGCACCGTCCACTACATGTTGCTGAATGAGAGTTGACCTCTGTAAGATGAGTGTGTCCAATTAAAGAGATCTATTTATGTGTGGGGGGTGGGGGGGGGGGGGTGGGGGGAGAAAGAGAGAAGAAACAAAGGGATCAGCTTTGTGGACAGGCAGAGGAGAGGATGGGGAGATTTTTTGTGTGTGCATGGATGTAATTAGTGGATGACCACATACTAATAATAGTTTGACAAGGCAAATGGTTAAATCATAAAGCTGCAAACATGTAGTTAGTATAATTGGCACTATCCAATTTTTACAAATTTTCAGAAAAAATAATATCAAATAAGTGTAGTATAAATAAATATCAGTATAAGTAAGATCTGTTACTTAAATACAAATGGAAAAGTTATATGATTTGTGCAGTATGTAGATATTCCATTTGAATTTATTCAAATCTCTGTACAAAATAATATACAAATACGGACACAGACAGTAGGCCCTGCAAATCTACAAGAGTCCCACACAAGCAATCAAAATATTTTTAGCGTTAGCTACCCAACTTTTGGTATTTAACTTTTTCAATGTTATCAGGTATTTAAATGATGTCTTAAGAAGGAGATGGCAATAATTTAAGGGTAAATTGAAAAAAAAAATTCTTTACTCCTATATTGATAAAAGATCTCTATATGCAGTGTACTTCCTTATGTAAGTTATACTAAAGTGAATATGCTTATCATAATTTAATGTGGAACATTATGCGTGAAATATAAAATATTAAACCTTCAAACTATCAAAAATATTAGTATACACAATATATTACATTGATAAATAAAAACACACTAAAATTACATGTGATATAAAACAAAATGGCTGTGTAAAAAAGTTGATTAAAGCTATAGGTAAAATGGTACTGATAGCTGATTAAAGATCAATGGTTTTTTTTAAAAGGCAATAATACGATTGGCTCTAATACTTGAGGTTAAATAATTATGTTTGACAATAAGAAAACATAGCCAGACTTTTCATTTGTCACTGCCCGCTTTAGCCTGAACCTCTGGAACAACTACAATTTTAGAAGTAACTTTATGGAAAGCCTGCATCCACTGTCGTTTGTCATGTTCATCATTAGCAATCAAAGTATGAGAATGACCTTTATGTGCATCTTGGAAGGATAAGCGGATCATATTTTTTGCTGCAGGGAAAGTACAGAAAAAATTGTTACCATTCTTTCCATTGATACTTTAAAAAGCAAAACAAATCCCTTCCACACACCTGTATGTCCCCCTTGTCCAAATGCATTCCGAAATGAGCCCATCTTGACCACACCATCAGGAAGATCTTCAACTATTAATTGGCCAGTAGGAATAGGTTGTCTGTAGACCTGAAAGAGCTGTTTGCTGCTCTGAAAGCTGGATCTAGACACTACTACAACTTTGTCAAACAGGAACACATACAGTTTCTGAATATAAAAAAAATAACAGTTTGTGTAACAAGAAAATACCTCTAATATCCAAATAGTTTTGTCACTGAACTAAATATTAAGGAGGAAATAGTCCTAAAATAGTTGCGCTTTGACAGTCCTAAAATAGTTGCGCTTTGACAGTCCTAAAATAGTTGCGCTTTGACAGTCCTAAAATAGTTGCGCTTTGACAGTCCTAAAATAGTTGCGCTTTGACAGTCCTAAAATAGTTGCGCTTTGACAGTCCTAAAATAGTTGCGCTTTGACAGTCCTAAAATAGTTGCGCTTTGACAGTCCTAAAATAGTTGCGCTTTGACAGTCCTAAAATAGTTGCGCTTTGACAGTCCTAAAATAGTTGCGCTTTGACAGTCCTAAAATAGTTGCGCTTTGACAGTCCTAAAATAGTTGCGCTTTGACAGTCCTAAAATAGTTGCGCTTTGACAGTCCTAAAATAGTTGCGCTTTGACAGTCCTAAAATAGTTGCGCTTTGACAGTCCTAAAATAGTTGCGCTTTGACAGTCCTAAAATAGTTGGGATGTGACAGTCCTAAAATAGTTGGGATGTGACAGTCCGAAAATAGTTGCGCTGTGACAGTCCTAAAATAGTTGGGATGTGACAGTACCAAAATAGTTGGGATGTGACAGTCCTAAAATAGTTGCGCTTTGACAGTCCTAAAATAGTTGGGATGTGACAGTCCTAAAATAGTTGGGATGTGACAGTCCTAAAATAGTTGGGATGTGACAGTCCTAAAATAGTTGGGATGTGACAGTCCTAAAATAGTTGGGATGTGACAGTCCTAAAATAGTTGCGCTTTGACAGTCCTAAAATAGTTGGGATGTGACAGTCCTAAAATAGTTGGGATGTGACAGTCCTAAAATAGTTGGGATGTGACAGTCCTAAAATAGTTGGGATGTGACAGTCCTAAAATAGTTGGGATGTGACAGTCCTAAAATAGTTGGGATGTGACAGTCCTAAAATAGTTGGGATGTGACAGTACCAAAATAGTTGCGCTTTGACAGTCCTAAAATAGTTGCGCTTTGACAGTCCTAAAATAGTTGCGCTTTGACAGTCCTAAAATAGTTGGGATGTGACAGTCCTAAAATAGTTGGGATGTGACAGTCCGAAAATAGTTGCGCTTTGACAGTCCTAAAATAGTTGGGATGTGACAGTACCAAAATAGTTGGGATGTGACAGTCCTAAAATAGTTGCGCTTTGACAGTCCTAAAATAGTTGGGATGTGACAGTCCTAAAATAGTTGGGATGTGACAGTCCTAAAATAGTTGGGATGTGACAGTCCTAAAATAGTTGGGATGTGACAGTCCTAAAATAGTTGGGATGTGACAGTCCTAAAATAGTTGGGATGTGACAGTCCTAAAATAGTTAGACTGTGTTTGTATTTGTGTGGTGTTTGTGTTTGGTTTTGTTCTGTTCCCAAATAGGTAGCCTACTTTAAAAAGCTTCACTTGGCAAATCACCTGTATGCAGCTATTATATAATATATATAACTAAACAACTCCACTTAACCAGACATCCGGGATAAAATACAGCAATAGAATACTGATAAAATAAAAGTAAGAAACTGACTTACGCTTCCTTTGGAGTTCTTCATACAGCCACTACACAACAGGGCAGTAGATAACTCAATCTCAGCAACTTTCTATGAAATAATTTAAGAATAAATTTGATGTTAAACTATTATTTAAACTATAAATTGTAAAAATGCTTGTGTCTATAATTAATAACAGCATAACAGTTTTATTTTTTGTTAACACATTAGATAACTGCTATTGTTAGACCACTGTTTGTGTGAGACCACTGTTTGTGTGAGACCACTGTTTGTGTGAGACCACTGTTTGTGTGAGACCACTGTTTGTGTGAGACCACTGTTTGTGTGAGACTACTGTTTGTGTGAGACCACTGTTTGTGTGAGACTACTGTTTGAATTTGTGAACAAGGATATCTTCTAAATCCCAGCTAATATTTGTTTGAGCTATAGCTAATGTTTACTTCACAAGGTCTGGGTCTGATTGGTTTACCTGGTCATCGTATAAATAGGTCAGCAAGGATTTGGAATGTTCACACCTTGATACACCTGTTGCCAAATCGGCTTCTCCAACCATTTTCTCCATCCTTTTTATCTAAAAAAACATTTATATTGAGTCATCCTTTTTATCGAAAAAAAAACCCATTTATATTGAGTCATCATCCTTTTTATCTAAAAACATAACATTTATATTGAGTCATCATTCTTTTTATCTAATGTTTAGTGACTGTTTTTTCAATACAAAAAAGGTAGTTTTATGATAATGAAAAATAAGTTTATGTATTATAATAAGTTGAAACCTATTGTAACAGACAACGTAAATTCAAATTTTAAAATGACTCACAGCTTTTTTTAAATGAGCAGCATCATCACTCTCACTGGTTGTCTGCAGGTGAAAAGATTAGAATTTGGTACAGAACAGATAATTCCTTGACATCAGTGAAAAGAGAACAGATAACTCCTTGACATCAGTGAAAAGAGAACAGATAACTCCTTGACATCAGTGAAAAGAGAACAGATAACTCCTTGACATCAGTGAAAAGAGAACAGATAACTCCTTGACATCAGTGAAAAGAGAACAGATAACTCCTTGACATCAGTGAAAAGAGAACAGATAACTCCTTGACATCAGTGAAAAGAGAACAGATAATTTCTTGACATCAGTGAAAAGAGGACAGATACCTCCTTGACATCAGTGAAAAGAGAACAGATAACTCCTTGACATCAGTGAAAAGAGAACAGATAACTCCTTGACATCAGTGAAAAGAGAACAGATAACTCCTTGACATCAGTGAAAAGAGAACAGATAACTCCTTGACATAAGTGAAAAATAGATAACTCCTTGACATCATTTACGACATGACAGATATTCCTGATATAGTTGGACATTACAGAAAAATTCTTTACAACATTCACTGCAAAACAGAAATTCCTGACATTGTTTGTTTGCAGCCAAAAAATATGTTCAGAAACAAAGAAGTTGGTGGAGGAAATATTTGTATGATGATGGAGTATTTGATTACAAATCTGATACTTTGCTGTAAGATGTAACAGAATCTATCAAGTAATGAAACCTGGGCATAGAACTGACCATATTATCCCTTCATATGCCGAGGTTACTGAGCCTAACTTCTTCTTCGTTCTTAATTTTAGTGTCTGAAGGTATTCCCCCCAACACAATTAAGTATCAACGGGTTATGCGCCATTGAGTCCAATTTCAGCCTACTTTTCTTTTTGGATTTGCTTCCATAGCTTTTGTCCAATCAAGAACAAACTTCAAGGGAGCAGATGTTAGATTTTGGAGTTGTCTCTCCTAGAAGAGTTGCTGTCCACAGCTAACAAGCCTCATCTGTCAGAGGGTTCAAACTTGTGACTTTTTGGTATAGCAGCCATGAGATTTACTGACTAAACCCCACCAACCCCTACTGAGTCTGCCAAGTAATGAAACCTGGGCATAGAACTGACCATACTATCCCTTCATATACTAGGGTCACATCAACAGGTAACTCTACTCCACCAGAAATATTGACCCCAGGTCATAGAGGGTATTTCATTTGGGACAGGTATGATGTGAAAAAAAGAGGATATTTACTTGACTTACGTATTTTAGTATGCTGTGAATAAGAAGAGGGTATTTGACAAATCTTCCCTTGGCACCATCTGTATGATGGGAATAAATTTACCATTTGTAGATGACTTAATACTTTGTAGATAACTTCACTTTCACACTTCGTAAATGGTTTATAACAATTGATTTAAGAAACAGCTCAAGAAACAGATCAATGTTTGTTTAGTTAGTTTAAAGGCATGTGCAGGTGATGAGTACCAAACCACTTATTTCCAAACTTAATGCTCTCACATTTAGCATATGATTATACCTCAAAGTGGTTAGCCTAAACATGAAAATTTCAATGGTGCCCATCTTACATTTTAAATACATTTAAATAGTGAAATAACTTTTAGATGGCTAATCAAAGTTACACAAAAATGACAGAATTGTTAGAACATGTTGTTTAGACTTCTGATAGATTACTTTTGCTCATTGGAAGTTAGTTTTTTTCTTCCCCATTTTTTTTCTGGAAAAAGTAAAAAGTTAAAATAGTTACCCAATAAGGACCACAGATCTAGCTTCCTACTAAAAGGAGAGGCAAGACATCTTTGGAAAAAATCCTCAATTGCAGGCTCATTCTTTTTGGTATCAAATATAGATTTAGCTTGAATTTGGTTGGCACAGTAGGTGATGTAGACACTGAGTTGACTTGACTGTCAAGAAATAGTCAAACAATCGTTTGTACATCTCTTCATGCTTATTAATAATCACATCCAATGGGATGGACACTAAAAGGGTTTCAATTATCCTGAGTTCTTTTATTATTAAAACATGTCATAATAAAAATGTATTTTTAATTTTTTTTTTATTGCTGTTGAAGCTAACTAAACAACATTAGAAGAAAAAAAGTTATGAAAATCAAAAGTCTATAAATTTGTGGGTATGACTGAAAGAAAATGCAGGCAACATTTTAAAATTTTGATGCATTTAAACAAACTTTTAAAAAAACCACAAAATATTTACAGAAAGAGAACACTTTTTTGTCTTTTCAAATTTTATAACACTCTTAAATTTTCAAATTTCAAAAAGAAATTTAAGCTATAATTTTAATATTTAAAAAAAAAAGATTTAGGTTTGACAGAAGAAAATGTATAAAACATGTTTCTCGTTTATCTCTACAAAAATGATTGGGCCATGCTTAACAAATCTCTCAGATGTCATTACTAACATTTTTCCCCATTGTAAATTTGATTTATTAGCTTTTATATTCTTACTAGCGTGCTGTCACACTTTGCTGCAATCTCAGAAGAAACAGGTTATGATAACATCACTTACACTGAAAGAAAGGCAACTCTTTAGGAACATTTCCTCAATGTGTTACTAAGGGTGTATTTTTAGAGCATAATCTCTTTTTTACTTTCTCGTATATACGAAGTATAGAGAAAGTCTAGTAATCGTGCAAAAAAAAAAAAAATCGAGATTTTTACAAATCTCGTTTTTTACACCTCACTGATACGGAAAAACATAATTTTGCAATCTTGTCCGTGTGTCTGTGTGTAAACACGATAACTTGAGTACTGTTACAGCTAGGTTGATGAAATTTCATTTATAGGTATTTTATCAAAATCGTAGATCCTGATCAACTTTTGAGCGATTTCCGATAACCGGAAGTGGTACTTTTTCTACTTTGAATTTTTCAAAAGCCTATAACTTGAGTACTATTTCAGATAGATAAATGAAATTTCACATGTCAGTAAAAGATCTAATTCTCTACCTTCTGTCAAATTTTGAGTAATTTCCGTTGACAGGAAGTACTAATTTACTCTATTTCCGATTTCTCAAAAAACACATGTAAATTTATAAAGTACTAATAATATTGCGCACTATTATGCACATTTTGTTTTGGCGTTTGCTTGGTGCGCAATTCTTTTTTCTACTAGATTTTATTCTATTTTTAAAAGTTTAAGTAAACAAAATTCATGTCTATATTCCGAGTTGCCATCCCACGTAGTGTTATATAGAATATTCGAGAAAGTTTAGGGGAGATCACTCCCGGTTTATTTGATCTACTGATTGGATCAAGTAAAAACAGATGCACCATGCATCACTTGTCAAAACTCTAAATGAGGGTTTCTTTAACACGTTACCCAATAATTATTTTTAGCTTTATTGTTACACAACTCAAATTATGTATATATAAATGTAAACTATGCTGGCACTACAGTTCTTGGTAGTTAAGGATGCGGATTTGTCCAAACCATGGCCCAGATGAAGTGTTTGGAATATACTACCCCCAGATGCAGTGGTTTGAATATACTACCCCCAGATGAAGTGTTTGGAATATACTACCCCCAGATGTAGTGGTTTGAATATACTACCCCCAGATGTTGTGGTTTGAATATACTACCCCCAGATGAAGTGTTTGGAATATACTACCCCCAGATGTTGTGGTTTGAATATACTACCCCCAGATGTAGTGGTTTGAATATACTACCCCCAGATGTTGTGGTTTGAATATACTACCCCCAGATGAAGTGTTTGGAATATACTACCCCCAGATGTTGTGGTTTGAATATACTACCCCCAGATGTTGTGGTTTGAATATACTACCCCCAGATGTTGTGGTTTGAATATACTACCCCCAGATGTTGTGGTTTGAATATACTACCCCCAGATGAAGTGTTTGGAATATACTACCCCCAGATGTTGTGGTTTGAATATACTACCCCCAGATGTTGTGGTTTGAATATACTACCCCCAGATGTAGTGGTTTGAATATACTACCCCCAGATGAAGTGTTTGGAATATACTACCCCCAGATGTTGTGGTTTGAATATACTACCCCCAGATGTTGTGGTTTGGAATATACTACCCCCAGATGTTGTGGTTTGAATATACTACCCCCAGATGTTGTGGTTTGAATATACTACCCCCAGATGTTGTGGTTTGAATATACTACCCCCAGATGCAGTGGTTTGAATATACTACCCCCAGATGTTGTGGTTTGAATATACTACCCCCAGATGCAGTGGTTTGAATATACTACCCCCAGATGTTGTGGTTTGAATATACTACCCCCAGATGTTGTGGTTTGAATATACTACCCCCAGATGCAGTGGTTTGAATATACTACCCCCAGATGTTGTGGTTTGAATATACTACCCCCAGATGTTGTGGTTTGAATATACTACCCCCAGATGAAGTGTTTGGAATATACTACCCCCAGATGTTGTGGTTTGAATATACTACCCCCAGATGTTGTGGTTTGAATATACTACCCCCAGATGTTGTGGTTTGAATATACTACCCCCAGATGAAGTGGTTGAATATACTACCCCCAGATGCCCTTGGGGGTAGTTTAAAATGGTCATGATTTGTTTTTAAAAACTGCAAACCTGGAAATTTTAAAACTCAAATTTTGCAATTCCAGAAAGTGAATAAAATCTGATGCTCCAAACCAAAAATATGGGATATAAGCCCTACAGGGAAAGTGGCACACTCAAAAGACCCATGCACTTCAGACATACTTTCATTTATAAATAAACTAGCGTACCCGACCCCCGCGTGTTGCCGCTTATCAATTATAATTATTTGTTCTTAGACGCGTGACCGTCTTTTTTAAAAATGAGTTATTTAAATGTAAACAATGCCTGCGCTTAAATCATAAATATCGGGACACGGGTTTACCTACACTACCGCATGTAAACATTGAGTGTACATTAACCACTCACCGAAATAATGTTAGAACACACTTCGGTGACCGTCCATGTGTCAGAGAAGCACAGGGGCGCTCTCAGGGCCCCCACCCCATCGTGCCAAATAGCATCCTGTTAATAATGATTCAGATTTTGTCATTCGCTAAAGTGACACAAATGAACAGGATTTTTTTTTCTTTAACACGTAAAAAAAGTATTTGACGTGTTTTAAACATCAGTGTGACTGATGCGATAAGCTAGCGTTACTAATGGTCTATTATTAGATGCTTGATATCAATTTCTGACTGGCTTGTCTAATAGTAGATGCTTATTGCATCTTTTGCAAAGTGACGAAACACTACAGTAGGCTCCTCATATTCAAAAAGATATTTTTTCATCTTTCGCAACGTGACAAAACTGTACAGAATGATTTCCTCGCGTTACAAAGTTATTTTTAGAAGCCTGTTGTAGTTTTACCCCTGAATATAGTAGTACCCCTTACTCGCTATGCAGGACGCTCGGTTAACGGATGCTAAGTGCCAACATAGTCGCTCTAAAACTCTAGGTGCTAAACCGTGTAGTGACGATAGTTGTACCCTTTATGGCGCCGCCCATAAGAAACTTTAGTTTTCTTTTTCGCAGAAATATTCTCGGGAGTATTCTCATCTACTCCCTAAAGTTTCATGGCACTCGGATGAACCACATCCGAGTTTTATTTTGTATATACGGTGTATAGAGAGAAAAAAATCGCTCCCCCCCCCCCCCCCCGAGGGCGCCGCCCTTGCAATATTAAACAATTTTTTTTTTGCAGAACCCACTATTGAGTGATCTAATCATCTCCCCAAAGTTTCATGGTACACGGATGAACGGTGTGAAACCGAAATAGACTTTTATTTTTATAAACCGTATATAAAGAAAAATCGCACCCTCCCGTCGCGCCGCCCTTGCGAAATTTAAAAAGGATTTTTTTTTACAGAACCCTTCCCTGAATTGTTCTAATCAACTCCCCCAAAGTCTCATTGCTATCGGATAACGGTGTCACACCAAAATCGACTTTTATTTTTATATAGCGTATATAGAGAAAAATCGCACCCTCCCGTGGCGCCGCCCTTGAGAAATTAAAAATTATTCTTTTACATAACCCTTCCCTAGAGTGTAATAATGAACTCCCCAAAGTCTCATGGCTATCGGATGAACGGTGTCACTGCGATTCACTTTTATTATTTTTATATACCGTATATTGAGAAAAATCGCACCCTCCCGTGGCGCCGCCCTTGAGAAATTAAAAATTATTTTTTTACATAACCCTTTTCTAGAGTTTTATAATGAACTCCCCAAAGTTTCATGCCTATCGGATGAACGATGCCAAACCAAAATCGACTTTTATTTTTATATACCGTATATAGAAAAAAAAAAACAAATCGCGCCGTCGGGGCGCCACCCCTGCGAATTTGAAATATTTTTTTCGCAGAAACCTCCCCAGGAATATTCTCAACAACTTCTCAAAGTTTCATGGCTATCGGATGAACGGTGTCACTGCAATTCACTTTTATTATTTTTATATACCGTATATAGAGAAAAATCGGACCCTCCCGTGGCGCCGCCCTTGCAAAATTAAAAATGATTTTTTTACAGAACCCTTCCCTAGAGTGGTATAATGAACTCCCTAAAGTCTCATGACTATCAGATGAACAATGCTAAACCAAAATCGACTTTTATTTTTATATACCGTATATAGAAAATATAGCGAATTTGACATTTTTTTTTTCGCAGAAACCTCCCCAGGAATATTCTCAACAACTTCCAAAAGTTTCACGGCGATGTGATAAGAGGTGTGGTAATGCATAAAAGACACACACACACACAGACATACATTGCTTTTTACATATATATATATATATATATATATATTGTGTGTGAACTATTGTTATTTTCTTTCTGAATTCTATCTTTTTGTAATGACTTGAATCCATTTAAAAGGTAGAAAAACTCACCCAGTCATAAATCTGTTTTCCCACATGACGAGTGGTCCCATCAGGTTCTCTCTCTTCTTGTAATCTCCTCGATAATTCTAACAAATGGAAGACGACACACAACTAAATGTTCAGCTTTATTCTAAAACATATCTATTACCCCGTTTTATTGGCTGCCTCTCTGAGTGGTCATTTCAAACTATCACAGCATAAGAAAGCTTACCTTGATGGACTGGGATAAGTTGGTCAATATTTCCAAACAATGTGTTGACCTCATGGTTTGACATTAAGCCTAGTGTCAGTAGTGAGTCTCTGTAAAGCTGGCCAAATATACAAGAAGAAATTGAAATCTAAACATTCAGTGCAGTCAAATCTTTTTGTTATCTCTATAATACATTTGTCAGGCAGAGTTTGACTGGGATTTTTGGGAATGGTTCCCCCATTTTTTTCCTTATACTTTCTCTCTTCACATCACTCTGTTCTCAGTACTTTCACATTTGAATGAGAAAATCTGACTAAGCCAGACATGAGAAAATCTGACTAAGCCAGACAATGAGAAAATCTGACTAAGCCAGACAATGAGAAAATCTGACTAAGCCAGACAATGAGAAAATCTGACTAAGCCAGACATGAGAAAATCTGACTAAGCCAGACAATGAGAAAATCTGACTAAGCCAGACAATGAGAAAATCTGACTAAGCCAGACAATGAGAAAATCTGACTAAGCCAGACATGAGAAAATCTGACTAAGCCAGACAATGAGAAAATCTGACTAAGCCAGACAATGAGAAAATCTGACTAAGCCAGACAATGAGAAAATCTGACTAAGCCAGACAATGAGAAAATCTGACTAAGCCAGACAATGAGAAAATCTGACTAAGCCAGACAATGAGAAAATCTGACTAAGCCAGACAATGAGAAAATCTGACTAAGCCAGACAATGAGAAAATCTGACTAAGCCAGACAATGAGAAAATCTGACTAAGCCAGACAATGAGAAAATCTGACTAAGCCAGACAATGAGAAAATCTGACTAAGCCAGACAATGAGAAAATCTGACTAAGCCAGACAATGAGAAAATCTGACTAAGCCAGACAATGAGAAAATCTGACTAAGCCAGACAATGAGAAAATCTGACTAAGCCAGACAATGAGAAAATCTGACTAAGCCAGACAATGAGAAAATCTGACTAAGCCAGACAATGAGAAAATCTGACTAAGCCAGACAATGAGAAAATCTGACTAAGCCAGACAATGAGAAAATCTGACTAAGCCAGACAATGAGAAAATCTGACTAAGCCAGACAATGAGAAAATCTGACTAAGCCAGACAATCTAACAATAAATTTAGTTGAATGATACAGTGTTTGGCTGCAAGCCCTAAGGTCTCAAGTTTGGATCTCCTGTCAGGCTTGTGATTGTAGGACATCCCTGATGGGTGCCTAACTAATGTTGGGGAAAGTAAAGCAGCCAGCCATAATGTTGACCATCATACACCAAGGCCAAGAAACACATGGACTCGACTTCTTCTGTGCAAGAGGAACTTTATTTCATTAGATTGCCACCTTTAACTTTAATCATTGGGTGGCCACATTGGATGATACTGCCTCAGAAGTTAGTTAATTATTATAGTGTCAATTGTCACATCAATTAAGGATAACCCCACTCCCTAAACAGATCACAGATTGTCAAATTTTATTTGCAGCTTTGAACTGGGTCGAATAAAATAGAACAGGAAACAAACCAACAGAAGACATTTTAAGGGCCCGACCCCTGACATAATTGCTAAAGTAGCCACACCTGAGATAACTGCTAAAGTAGCCACACCTGACATAATTACTAAAGTAGCCACACCTGACATAATTACTAAAGTAGCCACACCTGAGATAACTGCTAAAGTAGCCACACCTGACATAATTACTTAAGTAGCCACACCTGAGATAACTGCTAAAGTAGCCACACCTGACATAATTACTAAAGTAGCCACACCTGAGATAACTGCTAAAGTAGCCACACCTGACATAATTACTTAAGTAGCCACACCTGAGATAACTGCTAAAGTAGCCACACCTGACATAATTACTAAAGTAGCCACACCTGAGATAATTACTTAAGTAGCCACACCTGACATAATTACTAAAGTAGCCACACCTGACATAATTACTTAAGTAGCCACACCTGAGATAACTGCTAAAGTAGCCACACCTGACATAATTACTAAAGTAGCCACACCTGACATAATTACTAAAGTAGCCACACCTGACATAACTGCTAAAGTAGCCACACCTGACATAATTACTAAAGTAGCCACACCTAACATAATTACTACAGTAGCCACACCTGACTTAATTACTTAAGTAGCCACACCTGGCTTAATTACTTAAGTAGCCACATCTGACTTAATTACTTAAGTAGCCACACCTGACATAATTACTAAAGTAGCCACACCTGACATAATTACTAAAGTAGCCACACCTGAGATAATTACTAAAGTAGCCACACCTGAGATAATTACTAAAGTAGCCACACCTGACATAATTACTAAAGTAGCCACACCTGACATAACTGCTAAAGTAGCCACACCTGACATAATTACTAAAGTAGCCACACCTAACATAATTACTACAGTAGCCACACCTGACATAATTACTAAAGTAGCCACACCTGAGATAACTGCTAAAGTAGCCACACCTGACACAAGGGCTAAAATAGTCGCTGTTTAACATGGTCGTCCAGCTGCACACTAAAATCATTTTTTTTCCTAGAAATCTTTCATTGCAATTAGTTGAATGGTGTACATACAAACAAACATTCATTCATTCATATAAAGATAAATAAACCGGGAGTGATCTCCCCTAAACTTTCTCGAATATTCTTATATAAAACAACAGGGGATGGGAACTCCATTTCAAATACTTAGTTTTTAAAATAGAATAAAATCCCAAAGAAAAAAAAAATTGCACACCAAGTGAACGCCAAATGAAATGTGCATAATAGTGCGCAATATTATTAGTACTTTATAAATTTACATGCGTTTTTGAGAAATCGGAAATAGCGTAAATTAGTACTTCCGGTCAACGGAAATTACTCAAAATTTGACAGAAGGTAGAGAATTAGATATTTTACTTACATGTGAAATTTCATTTATCTATCTGAATTAGTACTCAAGTTATAGGCTTTTGAAAAATTCAAAGTAGATATGGATCTACGATTTTGATAAAATACTTATATATGAAATTTCATCAACCTAACTGTAACGGTACTCAAGTAATCGTGTTTACACACAGACAAGATTGCAAAATTATGTTTTTCCGTATAAGTGAGGTGTAAAACGTCGAGATTTGTAAAAATCTCGATTTTTTTTTTGCACGATTACAATACTTTCTCTATACATCATATATACGAGAAAGTAAAAACACGGATAACTAATAATTGATTCATATTTTAACACTAACAAAAAATTAGGAAATCTTTGCTGTAGACAAAAAACTGCAAAAAAGTGTAAGATGTATTTGTTTTTAGATGCCTTTACTTGAAACAAATACTTGAGAAAGATAATTACCAGAAGAAAACTAACCTTAGTAACATGAAGCAAATCTTCCACCATGTCACGTTCACCTTGAAATAACTCATAGATTGCCTTCAAATAATAGATCCACATATTCAAAACAAAAAAAAACCATATCACAAATATTTTAGAAAATCAAAAAGCTTAAGACTTGAGATTTATTAATGTAGAGTACCTGCATGTGGCCATCAACAAAATATGTTTGTTTTAGGCCCTGCAATTTTATAAATTTTTCATAATCACTCGCTGGAGTTTTTATGCATGTAAATCTCCAGAGAATTGAGTGTAGTCCAGCCATGTAGCTGTGCATTTAAATCTCCAGAGAATTGAGTAGACCACCCACGTAGCAGTGCATCTAAATCTCCAGAGAATTGAGTAGACCACCCACGTAGCTGTGCATCTAAATCTCCAGAGAATTGAGTAGACCACCCACGTAGCTGTGCATCTAAATCTCCAGAGAATTGAGTAGACCACCCACGTAGCAGTGCATCTAAATCTCCAGAGAATTGAGTAGACCACCCACGTAGCTGTGCATCTAAATCTCCAGAGAATTGAGTAGACCACCCACGTAGCTGTGCATCTAAATCTCCAGAGAATTGAGTAGACCACCCACGTAGCAGTGCATCTAAATCTCCAGAGAATTGAGTAGACCACCCACGTAGCTGTGCATCTAAATCTCCAGAGAATTGAGTAGACCACCCACGTAGCTGTGCATCTAAATCTCCAGAGAATTAAGTGTAGTCCACCCACAAAGCTGTGCATCTAAATCTCCAGAGAATTAAGTGTAGTCCACCCACAAAGCTGTGCATCTAAATCTCCAGAGAATTAAGTGCAGTCCACCCACAAAGCTGTGCATCTAAATCTCCAGAGAATTAAGTGTAGTCCACCAACGTAGCAGTGCATCTAAATCTCCAGAGAATTAAGTGTAGTCCACCAACGTAGCAGTGCATTTAAATCTCCAGAGAATTGAGTGTAGTCCACCCACGTAGCAGTGCATCTAAATCTCCAGAGAATTGAGTGTAGTCCAGCTATGTAGCTGTGCATCTAAATCTCCAGAGAATTGAGTGTAGTCCACCCACAAAGCTGTGCATCTAAATCTCCAGAGAATTGAGTAGACCACCCACGTAGCTGTGCATCTAAATCTCCAGAGAATTGAGTAGACCACCCATGTAGCTGTGCATCTAAATCTCCAGAGAATTGAGTAGACCACCCACGTAGCTGTGCATCTAAATCTCCAGAGAATTGAGTGTAGTCCAGCTATGTAGCTGTGCATCTAAATCTCCAGAGAATTGAGTGTAGTCCACCCACGTAGCTGTGCATCTAAATCTCCAGAGAATTGAGTAGACCACCCACGTAGCTGTGCATCTAAATCTCCAGAGAATTGAGTGTAGTCCAGCTATGTAGCTGTGCATCTAAATCTCCAGAGAATTGAGTGTAGTCCACCCACGTAGCTGTGCATCTAAATCTCCAGAGAATTAAGTGTAGTCCACCCACAAAGCTGTGCATCTAAATCTCCAGAGAATTAAGTGTAGTCCACCCACAAAGCTGTGCATCTAAATCTCCAGAGAATTGAGTAGACCACCCACGTAGCTGTGCATCTAAATCTCCAGAGAATTGAGTAGACCACCCACGTAGCTGTGCATCTAAATCTCCAGAGAATTGAGTGTAGTCCAGCTATGTAGCTGTGCATCTAAATCTCCAGAGAATTGAGTGTAGTCCACCCACGTAGCAGTGCATCTAAATCTCCAGAGAATTGAGTAGACCACCCACGTAGCTGTGCATCTAAATCTCCAGAGAATTGAGTAGACCACCCACGTAGCTGTGCATCTAAATCTCCAGAGAATTGAGTAGACCATCCACGTAGCTGTGCATCTAAATCTCCAGAGAATTGAGTGTAGTCCAGCTATGTAGCTGTGCATCTAAATCTCCAGAGAATCGAGTGTAGTCCACCCACGTAGCTGTGCATCTAAATCTCCAGAGAATTAAGTGTAGTCCACCCACAAAGCTGTGCATCTAAATCTCCAGAGAATTAAGTGTAGTCCACCCACAAAGCTGTGCATCTAAATCTCCAGAGAATTGAGTAGACCACCCACGTAGCTGTGCATCTAAATCTCCAGAGAATTAAGTGTAGTCCACCAACGTAGCAGTGCATCTAAATCTCCAGAGAATTAAGTGTAGTCCACCAACGTAGCAGTGCATTTAAATCTCCAGAGAATTGAGTGTAGTCCACCCACGTAGCAGTGCATCTAAATCTCCAGAGAATTGAGTGTAGTCCAGCTATGTAGCTGTGCATCTAAATCTCCAGAGAATTGAGTGTAGTCCACCCACGTAGCTGTGCATCTAAATCTCCAGAGAATTAAGTGTAGTCCACCCACAAAGCTGTGCATCTAAATCTCCAGAGAATTGAGTAGACCACCCACGTAGCTGTGCATCTAAATCTCCAGAGAATTGAGTAGACCACCCACGTAGCTGTGCATCTAAATCTCCAGAGAATTGAGTAGACCACCCACGTAGCTGTGCATCTAAATCTCCAGAGAATTGAGTGTAGTCCAGCTATGTAGCTGTGCATCTAAATCTCCAGAGAATTGAGTGTAGTCCACCCACGTAGCTGTGCATCTAAATCTCCAGAGAATTGAGTGTAGTCCACCCACGTAGCTGTGCATCTAAATCTCCAGAGAATTGAGTGTAGTCCACCCACGTAGCTGTGCATCTAAATCTCCAGAGAATTAAGTGTAGTCCACCCACAAAGCTGTGCATCTAAATCTCCAGAGAATTAAGTGTAGTCCACCCACAAAGCTGTGCATCTAAATCTCCAGAGAATTAAGTGTAGTCCACCAACGTAGCAGTGCATTTAAATCTCCAGAGAATGGAGTGTAGTCCACACACGTAGCAGTGCATCTAAATCTCCAGAGAATTGAGTGTAGTCCACCCACGTAGCTGTGCATCTAAATCTCCAGAGAATTGAGTGTAGTCCAGCTATGTAGCTGTGCATCTAAATCTCCAGAGAATTGAGTGTAGTCCACACACGTAGCAGTGCATCTAAATCTCCAGAGAATTGAGTGTAGTCCACCAACGTAGCAGTGCATTTAAATCTCCAGAGAATTGAGTGTAGTCCACCCACGTAGCTGTGCATCTAAATCTCCAGAGAATTGAGTGTAGTCCAGCTATGTAGCTGTGCATCTAAATCTCCAGAGAATTGAGTGTAGTCCACACACGTAGCAGTGCATCTAAATCTCCAGAGAATTGAGTGTAGTCCACCAACGTAGCAGTGCATTTAAATCTCCAGAGAATTGAGTGTAGTCCACACACGTAGCAGTGCATCTAAATCTCCAGAGAATTGAGTGTAGTCCACCAACGTAGCAGTGCATTTAAATCTCCAGAGAATGGAGTGTAGTCCACACACGTAGCAGTGCATCTAAATCTCCAGAGAATTGAGTGTAGTCCACCCACGTAGCTGTGCATCTAAATCTCCAGAGAATTGAGTGTAGTCCAGCTATGTAGCTGTGCATCTAAATCTCCAGAGAATTGAGTGTAGTCCACACACGTAGCAGTGCATCTAAATCTCCAGAGAATTGAGTGTAGTCCACCAACGTAGCAGTGCATTTAAATCTCCAGAGAATTGAGTGTAGTCCAGCTATGTAGCTGTGCATCTAAATCTCCAGAGAATTGAGTGTAGTCCACCCACGTAGCAGTGCATCTAAATCTCCAAAGAATTGAGTAGACCACCCACGTAGCTGTGCATCTAAATCTCCAGAGAATTGAGTGGTCCACCAACGTAGCTGTGCATTTAAATCTCCATGTAGCTATGCATGGGAATGTAGCTAAAAAACTGAGTTGCATTATAATGGTTTCAGGTTTTCAAACAGAACTGTTATGTAATTCAATGCTTTTAAAAAAAAGTTAAAGAAAATAAATTTTTAAAAGGGTGTTTCTGATTTTCAGTCTGTGTTGAAGCCTTCTTAATTCCAATTAAATCAATAAATCTCAAAACACAACTACCTCTTGTCTTTTGATATCTGTACTGGTTAGCTGGAGTAAAGATTTTCCACTTGCTCCTCCCAAAGTGTCCATCCATGTTAGCTGCTGCCTCCTTTTTGCTGGAGATGGGTGTGGCAGTTTGTATGGAGAAGCAACTTGTGGCCGGGGAGAACATGGTACTTTAAAGCTTTTGTTCTCTGGCTAGAATGTCAACACAATTGAGTCATCAAGCAACATTGGAATATTTAAACTTAACAAATCAACTAATTCTTAATGCCTCAAATTTATATTGGATCATATTCAGTCTTGTCAAGATGTCTACTAGATAACTGTCATATCATTACTTGCTTACTAGATGAATGGATTTAAATGACTGTTTTTGTTGTGTATACTTTGGAAAACCTATTTATAACTTTGGATTGCCTAAGATATAGGCTACTGTAACAGTAAGGCAAATAGTGTCTTTTTTTGTTGTTTCTGTAACAACAGTTTTGAAAAGCTGAATCAGTAGTAAGGATTTACACTTTCAAAACAGGATCTCTAAAAGGCCACCTGAAAATAAGGGTTTTAAAAAACCCACAGACAATCCATCAAACACTGAGATGGTATCAGCATGAAACCCACAGACAATCCATCAAACACTGAGATGGTATCAGCATGAAACCCAACTGGTGGAAAAAATAATCAGCCTAAAAAAGAGTGGTGTTATTTATGGATGATTCCTTAAACAAATTTCCCAAAACAATTTAAGGTATTGCCAAGGTTTTTCAGGTAAAAATTAGACATTTGAATAAACCATAGAGAAGTTACTAAATTTTTATAAGCAAATACATATTTTACAAACTCTGAAACCAAAATGTGCAATTTAAAAAACTCTGAAACCAATACTGCTCAAATAAAAAAAATGTTTAATGCCAAAATGCTTTGATTATTGATCAAGATTTTGTATTCATACCATATTATTCTCAAGTTGTTTTTTGTGGTGTAACACAACACTCTGTAACAATGAAGCAAATGATATAGTGCAAATAACACACACAAAAGCCTACCCACTACCCAATATACTCTATACATTAACAATTTCATTGACCAAAATTCAAATAGACTAAAACATGCAACTATCTCACATATGACATTTTAAGAACCAACCCCAACCCTCCCACAATAAAAACATTTTTACTATTTTGTAGCGAGTAGGACCAAAACTAGTTACACTATTTACTACAAAGGTAATCCAGAAAAGAGTAATATTTGATACAATATTTCCCAATAAACCTAGTATAAAAATAAGCCAACTTAAAAGATATTATTTTTTTATATAGCATTACCCAATGAACCTAGTACAAACTTAGGTCTACTTTAAAGATACAGTAGTAATTCAACTAAGGAGAGCCCCAACATACAAGATTTTGTTTAGATATGAGCTGTTCTGCTGGCAAAAATTTGCTTTGACAAACAAGCAACACTTGAGAGAAACTGATTAGTGATTTAACAGTTCATGGATAAGAAACATCTCAAAAAAGTTGAAACTGATAGTGCGCCTGAGATATATAATGACACTTGGCCTTTTGAATGTCATTAGTCTTAAGTCTTTACACTAAAGCAACTACACTTTACCTACGTCTATGTATACTAAACATGTTATGGAACATCTTCTGAGTCGCTGAGCACAAAACCAAGCTCCTTTTTGTGTTCTGGACACAGTTTTTATTTTCTTTTGAGTAAAAACATTGTACTGTCAAAGCGTAATGAGCGCATCCTAATTTCTTGCTTTCAGCTGATTGCAAAATGTAACTTAAAGATACTAATCTTGAGTTTTTGAGTAGACACTTTTGTAATTTATATATTGGATATTCTCTACTAAAAAAGTATTACTTATTATTTTTTCAATTAAATCCCAAACATGTTTTAATGAAAAATTTAGCATTAACCCTTTATTTACGGAATTAAGTTCTGAATGAAATTTTGTCTTAAACATTGTTTTATTTTATTGCTTTTGGCACACTTAAAGCATAAGTCGAAGAAAATTTAGTTTTGTTAATTTTTGATGGACCAAATATATATTGGCACTTAAAAATCTGTCAGTAATGTAGGACATTTTTTCCAAAAAATAAACTGTAAAATTTTATTAACTAACAACAGGGCATTCTTTATTATAATCATTTTTATAATTTTTGCACATAAACAAAGCACAAAAGTATATTTTGAGTATGATTTTTACTGGATTTTCAATCGGAACAGATCTTAGACCTTCATCTGATTACCAAACATTCCTCATTGAAACATTCTTGTCTGTGGTCTTTCTGGTTGCCAGACTGAACCTGCTTTTGCTGGAAGCTTCCAATAGAAGTTACAATGAGCCACATAAAAAAATATTTTGAAAACGAAAGGCTAGTCATTCAGTAGACTACTACTAGTAATACTAAAATGATTGTAGCCTACTAGAATGTTATGACAGGCCTACAAAACAGCCTAAAATTCATAAATAGAAGTGAGCTCCGTGTGTTTAGAATAGACTTAGTGGCTTATTGTTGTATGTTTCCTGATTAAAATTTAGCATAAAGATCTATATTATAAGCAGAAGCATGGACTATTACTAGTCTACAGGTATATGTTATGTACATACAAATTATTGTAGGCAAGACAGTTTTCTGCAATACATGTAACTAACAAATCTTACTACTAGAACTAGACTTATGCATACAAATAAACTTTACTAAACCTAGTAAACTAGCATGCAACTTCTATCTTCATTCTTGTTATTCTTTTACTATAAAAATTTATATTTAATTACAATATTGTTAGGTAAACCATATCCTAACCTTCATCTAAATGTATAAATATCATTTATTAAGTACACTTCAATAATTTATTATCAAATAATGTTTACGTCACTCCACATGGAAAATCTGCCAATATTCAAGAAATCCTAAAAATATGACAGTATGCCCAGACTGTGCTCCTAAGTATTCATGTAAACATTGATCTAATACAAAGACAATTTGATAGTATTCATGTAAACATTGATCTAATACAAAGACAATTTGATAGTATTCATGTAAACATTGATCTAATACAAAGACAATTTGATAGTATTCATGTAAACATTGATCTAATACAAAGACAATTTGATAGTATTCATGTAAACATTGATCTAATACAAAGACAATTCGATCAAAATTGAATAAATAGAAGTTAAACGCACTTATCTGACTATTGAGATGCCAATAAAAATATTTGGGCTTGAAAAGTTGAATATTAAAGTAAAACGAAGGAAAATTAAGAACACTTGTGAGATCTGCAAAGCACGATTGTGAACTACCGATACAGGAAGAGATGGAATGTAGCGCCACACCAGTCATTTTCAAAAAATGTCAATCCGGCCAACCACCGTTGACTCAGGGGAGATTAAACTATTATTTATATCAATAATTTTAAAAATTCAACTTAGATTAAAAATAATAGGCCCTACAGACGCTTATTTAACATGGTAAATATAAGTACCCACAGTAGATAAAGGGTTGATAGATCACACTTTTACGGACTATAAAAACAGATAGATAACAAGTGATAATTTAAAAGTTAAAAATGGGACATAATTAACATAAAGAGATTTTTAAAGAGTGTCATAGGCCCTACTCTAAAATCTAGATCTACTTCTATTCTCAATAAAGGGTTTCAGTACAGTTATAACTCAATCTCAATATTTTTAATGAACTTGGCATATGCACATTTTTGAAGAAACTGTTCCTGAAGGATATAAACAAGCAACGAAGCGGTGTATGTTCTAAACCAACATGCAGGGTTTGTACACATTTTGAAAATGAAATTCCAGACTTATTCCAAACTTTTTTGTAAAAATTGCAGACTTTATACAGATAACGTATTCAATAATAATTCATAAAATGATGCAACATTTTAAGTACCGTATAATGACATTTATTTTCGGAAATTGAGCTAATGTTTCTTTCTCTAGGCAAATTGACAGAAAATGACTTTTCTAAGGTTGCCTACCCCACTCTTTAAAGTTTAAATTATTAATAATTATCATTAAAAAAGTTTTTAAAAACTCTTGTTTTCTAATTGAACTAAAAAGTAGAAAATAAATACTATAAATCACAATAATGCAAGCGATCACTCTACTATAAGCGATGAAAAACGTGGGGCGCCGAAGTAAAAGTTTTTTATCGGTCATTGTTAAGATAAGATGTAAAAGTTATATTACTATTGATTAGATAATACTATTGACTTTTATTAGGGAGCTTGTAGAGAGTCATTAGGAACTGTAAGAAAATCACGGCGCCCCACGTTTTTCATCTTTTTTTTTTTTTTTTCATCTTTTTCTGCTTTTTAGTCTTTGTCTGTTTGTTTGCATTCAAATCTTGCAATCGATTTTATCTTCTCGCATTCACTTTTTTTTTTTGGGTAAACGAAGAAAACTCGTAAAAAACACGTGCCTTTTCCAATCTGCATAGGTTTGTACACAAACACCGCGTGACCACTACACAGTAAGCAAAAAGAGGGAGAGTACCGAACCTTGTTTTCATCAAATTACAATTACTGGGTTATGTCCCTTTTTACCCACGTTTTTGTACAAATATATAGGGGTGTAAAATGATCAATAAAATGTTTCCATGGATCAATTTAGTAATAATAACAATTGAATATTCTATTGTCATCGGAAACAAAGCTTCCCTGAAAATTTCAGCGCGCTAGCTAACTGGGAAGTGCCCGAAATTTCGATCGCAAGATTTGATTGCAGAACCAAACAAACAAACAAACAAACAGACGCGAAAGCAAGTTAAAGAAAACGTGGGAAAATAGTTGATTAACATGATGAAACTATTGTTTCCAAAAACTTAAATTATGCTAATTGTTCTTTATCTAATTGCATTGTTTTCAATTAAATTATAACTAAAATAGCAGTCTTATCAATTACTCAAAAAGAATAATAAAGTAATTAACTAATTTAGATCTGCTGTTGTTGAGTAGCCTAGACTTATTCACCCTAGAACCTAGATCTAATAGATAGTGCTTTGGAAATAATAGGCTACTTAAGAAAAATTTGGAGAAAAAAAAAACAAACAACACTTTGCAGGTTGTTACCACATCATTATTTATGCTTATGGCTGAGAAACTTTTGTCTGCTATTCAAATTACTGGTATCCACCCCCCCCCCCCCACCACACACACAAGAAACAGAGGGGAGGTCACAGTAGTTCGTACATCAATAAGCCTGTGTAATACATCCTAGCCAAATTTTCACAACATACTTGGGGTTGCAGTGAAGTTCACACAAATTTACATATCAGTGACCGCATTTACAAGGAGGGATGGGTTAGTCTAGCCCTAATCGGCAGCAGTTGCTAAGATTTCAAAAACAGTTTAATGGGAAGTGAATTAAAAATACAGATAGATAAATTATAAGTAGACTGACTCACACGCCTCCCTCGTAATTTTTTAATATGACTGCCTACCTGCAACCTTAGACAAACGTAAGGAACAATAGCAGGTAAAAGCAGTCAACGTTTGTATGTCTGATTCTTCTTTCATTAAATAACAATTTAAAATACGTGCAACACGTTAACACGGTCAGTCACGCAGCTACATAAAGACTGAGGTCTAACAATCTCCCTAGTGCACAGCGCAGGAAAAAAAATGGGAATAAATTCACTAAAGTATAGCCTTTTTGTTGGTCGGAAAATAGGGACTTTGTGGACAAGTTTTGTTTTTACAACTAGATTCTCGACTTTTTCCAGACTTTTAAAAACTATGGCCCAAAAAAATGAGCGACTTCCATACTTTTTAAAATCTGAAATTCTCTTTTCTAAATTCAAGACTTTTTCAGCATTTCCAGACTGCATATGAACCCTGAGAATGAATTTTAAAATGCAAATAAAAAGTATTGTACTCAAGTAGTGAATGTTTTATTTTTAAAGGACTATGTCTTCTTTGGAAAATATTTGTTTAACTGTTTAATTTGAAAATTCTGAGTAGGTACATCAACAAACCAAATGCTTCTCCAGTTACTAAGTATTTTTAAAGTGACAGCAAGCTGGGGAAATGACTACTATTGGGTGGGGGTGTGAGGGAAGGGAGAATTCTACTGCGGGTTAGGATTAGGGTAATAGCAGGTGGGTAATGTCTTAGACCCTGTGCTATTATTCATAACAATAACTTTATTTCAAGCTCAGTTGCTGACACTCCAATACAATGTTTCTAATGTTCTCTAATTTTAAAAATTTTCATTGATAAATTGTAAAACCGTGGCTACACCTTTCTAAATAATTAAGTAGTAAGCCAAATAACTACGTTAAGCTTTGAATACTCCAAACTATTAATTATCTAAGCCTATATTGTAGATGCTACAGGTCAAAGGTCATGCTTGTTTTGTAAAATGTTCTATAACATGTTCTGTAAGTGCGAACTTGTTAATGTGACAGGATTGAGCCAGGTTTCATAGTGTCAAAGAGCAAATATTCTCAAGCTACTAATGGTATCTCCAGGTTCATTACATTATAATAATTCAAACAGTGCATTAAAAATAATTGGGCCATGATAAATCGCTGCAACCAAATTATAGTTTAGTAGGTCTAGTCTTATTATTTTGTTAACCTTACACAACATTAATTGTTTAATAACCCCCTTTTATCTTCGTTATTCATACAGCATGTCAAACCTACAAAGATGTCAACTAAAAATAACCAACTTAAACTGATATAGGAAAGTACTTATTTCAGTGAATGATAGAGGGAGCATGCAATGTGCTTAGATCCTCTCACATCAGGTTGAGGACATCTTTCGCTAAATAAACGCAGTTTTTCTATTTGATCTGAAAACTTTCTGAGTTTTCAAGTGAGCTTATAATAGGGGACCAGTGCTATGTTTTGGCATCTGCTAAGCTATTTCCATCTACATCTGAAATAAATCAAGAGAAAAGTGTGAACTTACATGCTTTTGTCTTCCTGGTGATATCAGATTAACAAGTGAGGCTGAAACTCTTCGGAGTGTTTGTTTAGATTTTTTCTGAAAGAGACAGTTTGTTATTTAAAGCTTAAATGAAAGAGACAGTTTTGTTATTTAAAGCTTGACTGAAAGAGACAGTTTTATTATTTAGAATGTTATTTTTTTGTCTAGAACAGGGGTCGGCAACCTGCGGCTCGCGAGCCGCATGCGGCTCTTTTGATATCAAGATGCGGCTCTCCAGCTCCTTGCACAAATACTAATAATCTTAATAAAAAAATAAAATATTTGAAATAAAAAAAATGTTAGTGGCTCTTTAAAACCAGGGAAATTTTGAAAATTTTAACTTTTGGCTCTTCAGCTTCAAAAGGTTGCCGACCCCTGGTCTAGAAGAAGTTTGTTTCTATTAAACATTAGTTTAATAGAAAGCAAGTTATAATTTTTCTATACAAATATATTTTCTATAGAATATATTTTCAGTATGGTTAGAACAATTTTAAATAAAGCAATTTACATTTTGCATACTTTTATTATGTTCTGCTCGATATTCTCAGCGATTAGACCCAAAAAATTTACAAATGGCAAGTTAGCATCAGACACTAATCCTCCATTGTTAAAACTAGATGGGTATTGTTGAATAATATGCAAAAATAACGATTTTAAGCATGTATTTCTGAAATGACCATGAAAAATTAATAAAAAAGGGAATCACGTTATCCTCCGTTTTGACAGCCATCATTACCATGACGACAGTAAAAAAAAAGTGGGTCAAACGACAACCTAATTAAATTGCGCCCCTTGGCCCACAAACCTGCCCATTGTTTATGCAGAGACAGAGATCTAATACTAATAGGTTAAGAATAAGTTTGGGTTTTTGTTAGAATTAGGGATAAGGCGTATGGGAGGGCTGGTTCAAACTAAAAACTTTCTATGTGTTACAATAGCATCTTGCTACAAACTAAAATCAAAGCTTTCTACCAACCAAAGTTTCCCTATACCATCCTCCCCTACCAACCAAAGTTTCTCTATACCATCCTCCCCTACCAAATGAAGTTTCCATATAGCATCCTTTCCTACCAACCGAAATTTAGCATCCTTCCCTACCAACCAAAGCATCCCTATATCATCCTTATTTACCAACCAACTACCTACTATGTTTGAGTGTTTTTGTAGGTGACTATGTTAAACATATTCTTTCAGAACAAATAAATCAAATAATGTACACTATCTAATGCATTATTACTGTCCTCAGTAATTATTATCTAAGCCTGAAATACCTGTAATTTATTAACTCTAATTAATTCTAAGTTTAATCCAGTGCCAATCCATGTTCCATAAACAATGTGTTCCATCACATCCCGTGAACTGTCAACCCTACGTAAGTTTTATGACTTATAAGCAAAACACATTTATGTTAAATTAGTTTGTAGGCCTATATTTTTAACTAACTGCATACCCGTGCTCCACCATGGTGAATCTTTTTTAAACGTACAGACTTATGAACAGAACAAAATTAAATACAAACACAGATGCAAACAAAAACACAAAAGAAAACACACATGCAAACACAAATAAAAACTACAAGACAAACGCAAAAAAAAAACAAAAAAAAAACAACAAACCACAAATGAAATCGCAAACACAAACCTAAATGCAAACAATAACGCATACATTAAAAAATAACTTAAATGCAAACATATACGCATAGTGCTCAGTCTAGCCAGGGGCGCCATATCACACTCTGCTGGTGCGCCATCTGAACCGCCTGATTCAACTTAGTAAACGTCTATAATACCCCAACTTATCTATATTCTATAGCACTCACTTAAACGAACGTAGGGGCCATAGCGCTCACAGGAAGGTCGGGACGCCAAACAGCACTCTGTTGGGGCACCAGAGAACGCCCTGGTTTTGATATAAACCCTTTTTACCCACAGCTTATCGCACTCTTTAAAATGAAAGTATGCACCATAGTGCTCACAGGATAACCTAGGTCACCAAATCGAACCCTGCTGGGGCGCAGGCGGACGCGCCTGATTCGATTTAGTAAACAACTATAATACCCCCAGCCTGCCCACAAACCAAAAGATAGAAGTAAACAGAGGTAATTAAGAAGCGGCTTCTAAACTGTTATTGATTAAAAATAAAAAACAGTACGTTCAGTGTATAAAATAAATAAAAGGCAGTATTTAACTAAAATATCAGTGTTTTACCTAACACATTGCACTTTATCAATCCATGCTAATTATATTATTCCAACAGTGATGCAATAAGCATTCACATATTTTTTTTTTACTTATATTTATATAACAATACTAAGCGCGAGTTGAATTTCCTTTTAAATTACCTCCCCTGGAATAATTATTAAACATATTTATTGATTAGTTTTATTCGACCCAACTTTATTAAAATGAATCCATTTTTCTAGGCACATAAGCAAAAATATTATTTGACATTGATCCATTTAATATGTTTTAGCAATGTGAGTGCATTTAACATTTTCTTCACGTTTGTTTGTTAGCATATACTAAAGAGGAAAAACTTTGCAGACGATTAACATTTTTAAAGTCCTTATATAAGTAGAACCTACTCCAGTAATAAGACACTGAGATGCAAGTAAAAAGCATAGCATGTGTTCTTGTACACTTTTATGGTTCTAAAATCCATAGTGATGACTGAATGACAGACAGAATGACTGACACACTACTTGGCCGCTTATATTATAGATGAAGTTGACCTTTTTTTATGAACATTATACATGGATAACACTGAATACTAGTGCCATTGGACGATTGATTCCTGGGCCCCATATTTGACTCTTGCTTATGAGCGATCAACATCTCACCTTTGCTGATATGCCACTAACATTCAAACTTGTGACACTAATGTTGTCCTCGTTGTTCTCGCTTTTCAATTTTCGCTTACGCTGAAAAAAAAAAAAAAAAGGTTCGATATAGTCAATGATTATTGTTGCCTATCGTGTCTTTAGTGTATATCCTTTTTTTTTTTAGTGAACGTAGGCGCCATAGTGTTCACAGGGGAGCCTGAGGCGCTTTGAGTCGTGCAATGTACGGGGCGTCGACGGTTGCGCCTCTTGAAGTTTTACCGCTGAGTATAGTATTACTCCTTACCTGCTATTCAGGGTGCACGATTAGCGGATGCCACGTGCTAACATAGCCGCTCTGGAAATCTGGGCGCCAAATTGTGTATTGACAAAAATCGCACCCTTGCAGGCGCCACCCAAAGTTTCATGGCACACCGATGAAAGGTGTCAAATCGCAACAGACTTTTATTTTTTATATACCGTATATAAACAAAAATCGAACCCTCCCGTGGCGCCGCCCTAGCGAAATTGAAAATGATTTTTACAGAACCCTTCCTCAGAGTGTTCTAATGAACTCACCAAAGTTTGATGGAGATCGGATGAATGGTGTGAAACTGCAATCGACTTTTATTTTTTATATACCACATATAGAAAAAAAACAAATCGCGCCCTGCCGGGGCACCACCCCTGCGAATTCGAATTTTTTTTCGTAGAAACCTTCCCAGAAATTTTCTCAGCAACTTCCCAAAGTTTCACGGCGCTGTAATAAGAGGTGTGGTAATGCATAAAAGACACACAGACAGACACACATTGCTTTTTATATGTATACTAGCGTACCCGTCCACGCGCAAAGCCGCGGGAATAGAAGAAAGTCCGACGAAATATATAAGAAGGGTTTCATCAATGTGTTACCAATTCTACATTTTTAGACTCGTGACCTAGTTTTCTAATAGTGAGTTATTTAAATGTAAACAATGCCTGCGCTTGTGTCATAAATATCGGGACACGGGTTTACCTACACTACCGCATGAAAACCTTGAGTGTACATTAATCATTCACTGAAACAATGAGGTAGAACACACTTCGGTGACGTAGGGGGGCACTCTCAGGAGCCCCCCCCCCCGATTACACTACCGCATAAGCGCGGCGTACGACCCTTGGCTCCTTAAAACTAACAGGTGCCATCGCCCCAAATAGCATCCTGTTAACAATGGTGCAGATTGCGTCATTCGCTTAAGTGACACAAGTGAACAGGATTTGATATTTAACACGTAAAAAAATTATTTGACATGTTTTAAACATCAGTGGGACTGATGCAATATGTTAGCATTACTAACGGCCAATTATTAGATGCTCGATCTCAATATCTGATTGGATTATCTAAAAATAGATGCTAATTGCATCATTCGCAAAGTGACAAAACTATTTGGATTTTTTTACAAACAAAAAGAAACATCCCAGTTAATAATCTAACCTTGGTTAATTTTTTCTGATTATCAAAATAAAATGTATTACATGGTCCTCAGCTGCCCATGTGAGCCTTTGGGGGCTGAAACAAACATTTTTATTTGCAGCCTAATCGTACCCTACCAGGGTACGCCTGATTCAATTTAGTGAGCGTTTCTAACGCCCCATCCTATCCATTGTCTAGCACAATGTTTAGACCAAATGTAGTCGCCATAGCGCTCACGGGAAAGACCAGGGCCCCAAATCGCATCCTGCCGGGGGGCTGCCCATGCAAAATTAAATCCCCCCTCCCCCACCCACCCCAGAAACCTTCTCGGGAGTATTTATCAACTCCCTAAAGTTTTATGGCACCAGGATAAACTGTGTCAAAGTGCAAAAGTCTTTTATTTTTATATACCGTATATAGAGAAAAATTCCACCATCCCGTGGCGCCGCCCTTGCGAAATTTAAAATAAGATTTTTTTTTACAGAAACCTTCCCTGGAGTGTTCTAATCAACTCTCCAAAGTTTGATGGCGATCGGATGAAAGCCGTGAAACCGCAATCGACGTTTATTTTTATATACGGTATACAGAGAAAAATTGCACCCTCCTGTAGCGACGCCCTTGCAAAATTATTTTTTTTACAGAACCCCTCCCTGGAGTGTTCTAATTAAGTCCCTAAAGTTTCAAGGCTATCTGATGAACGTTGTGAGACCGCAATCGATTTTTATTTTGATATACCTTATATAGAGAGAAAACAAATCGCGCCCTGCGAAAAATAGCTTATGGTTATCAGTATTTCTAGATAAATTAATAGTTTTCTCGAATTAGATTATCTGTGAGGCTAAAAAGCAATGATTTATATCAAATATTTAAGGACTAAAATAATTTAATAAAGAAACTCACTTATTTATTGTGTTTTTATACTTTTTTTTCCTTTTAACTAATTATTTTCGATTTGGCCTTAAATTTAGTTTATAAAATAATAACTGATCAAAACGCAATGTGCTTTACTATACTTTGAACGATATTAGCAACAACGCAAAGAAATAACAGCTAAAAATACAACACATTTAAAATTACATAGGCTATCAATACTTATTGGAAAAGCCAAATTATGTACATTATTAGTCAACACAACATCATTCAATGCACACACTGATTAAGAGACTTAAATGATTCCGTTAAAAGCCCGGCTGTTCAATTGTATTTACTTTGTTTTTTAAAGTAAATTGTATTAGTTTGACCAAGTGTATACAGTTTGTAGCATATGTCTTGATAAGAAGATTTAAAGAATCTAGATCTAAATCAAATTTGAATGAAATAGTTCATTTCTTCAAATTCTAAAATTGAAAGTTGACACCATTAGTGTTGTGTTCTTTCCGTAGTTTAAACATGTGGCATGTGATGTCATTATTTATTGCGTTCTTGTCACAACCATAAATACTTTACCAGTTGCATAATTAAAAATGTGTTTCTTTCTTTAAATAAAATTTAGTATATACATTTAAAACATCCACCATATTATTTTCAACAAAAGTTCGTATCTTTAAGTTCACCATACATTGTTGAAGATACTGATCTCTTAGGCTCAGGACATGTGGACAGAGAAAGAGAGAGAGAGAGAGAGAAAAGAGCACATGGGCTTGTATATATTCGGATAGATGAACTATTCATGTAGATAATAATCACCAAGACATAGTATATTTACTGTACTGTATATTGTAATGAGATAGTTCCAGTGCGTTTGAATAAAAAAATCTTTTACCAACGGAAAAATACGTACAAATCTGGGCAACTCAAATCCAGAAGCAAAAGACAGACGTCGGCTTGACTTGCATGTTAGTGGAACCCTGTGAATGATTAAACTTTCAGTATCATGGAGAGTGATGAACTCTGTGAAAGATAAAACTTTAAATAGTAATTTGTATTTACACTCAAACAACCAATCCAGTGGGGGTTAAATTCAAGACAAAAAATGGTCAGCAGTTTTTGCACCTTTTTTGCATTTACTGTCTCACCATTTTGAATCTCAAAAATTGTCTTTAACCGATACCCTTATCTTAAGCTGCTACTTAGTCTACTACAAGTAACTAGACAAACTTACTTTCTTCTACTTACTTAAAGAGCCCTTGTTCATCCATTGCAATTGACCCGATGGAAATTAATGACAAAGCTTTTTAACCTAATAATTTATACAGGCAGCTAAAGTAAAAGATATAACATTAGGTAAGCTTATTCATTCTGATCATTTTTACTTATAACTAAGATTAAGATTAAAATTATAAAAAATTATTCAGTGTCAAATCTCATCTCATAATCATATCAGGAGCTCCTTACACGACTAACACAGTATTTTAGTAATTTAGTAGAAAAGTAAGTAGATCTCTAGATTAGTAGATTCTAGACTAATACTAATTAGTAATAATAATTAGACTTTAGATAGTAAGCAATCGTTTTAGGACCGTAAAATCGTCAGATGGTAGTGATGTGCGGAATGGTAACTAACGAATATGTCTTTATTCTGTGCATGTTTATAACATATTTTACACAATATAACAGACAATTAAATAACAAATCACAATCAGGGACCAAACCAATAAAACATATCCTGGACTGAAATTTAAAAAATGGTATTTGAGACAACTATATCTGCAATTAAATATAAGAAGCTGCCAGCTAGTTATGTGACAGAAGGGTGGCTAATACAATTTTAGTATCGCCTTAATTATTTTGAAATTTTATGAGGATTTATGTTTTTAAAATGTTACATAGATGTACCTAGTGCCTTTTTTTAAAAACAATCTATATATATAAATCTCTTCATGGGTACCTTACGGGACACCACCAAGACGTAAGCGCGCCTAGCAGTCCCCTCTCTTCCTCTCTATGCATATTGCTACCACCCCCACCGGTCGGGTGAGCTGTGGTTCACGCCAAATATTTACAACCGTAGTGACGGCTATTAGGGGCAGATAATTTAGTTCAAAATTATTTCAAATGTTAGGGGAGGTAACTTAGAGGAGGCTGCTTTCATAGGGGGGGTGTAGGGGTTGGGGGAAAAGAGGGTGGGTTGGGGTAGTTATCATCCTTAATGAGCTACTGATAGTGTTTTAAAGCAAATATTTTCAGTGGCAGCATTGGTAGTGTCAAATTCACAAATCATGAATTACTGAAAAGTATAAAATGAAACAACAGCGGGTGGGCTCGTTTTAACTAATAGGTAGTATGTAGCATTTGGACAAAGGAGATAATTTTTATAGAAAAACCAGCCCAGAACTCTAACGTTAACTAATTTTTATTAATTTTAAATTAATATGATATCAATTGCCAATACACTAAGCAACAACATTTTCAAAATCTACTGAGGTTCAGCTATAACCTAGTTCAATTACTTTTCATTTTCTTTCATTTTTGCCTTTAAAAAAATGTATTTGAAAATAATAGAGCCTATAGGCCTATGCTCTAAATCAACTTTATTTTAATATATAAACAATAGTTAAACCACCTCAGCTGCCCACATTTATCACGCTCATTACATAACAAAGCCTAGGATCAAAAGAGAAAGCCGACACGGTACAAAGGCTGTCATTGATGCAAAACGTTAACACTCTCCAAATTTTATCTGCTACTTATCAACAATTCATAATTTGTTAGTTCGACACTACCCCACCACCCTGCCTTCCCCCCCCCACTCCGCCCAGTGAAAGCAGCCGTTTACAGACAACAATAAAAATATCAAGCAGAACTTATTATCTCCCCCTAGTTTCAAATCGTTTAAAAACTAAATTATCTGCCCCTAATGGCCGTCACTTATTCGAACCAGCTCTACTATTGTAAACATTCGGGGTAAACCATAGCTCACCTGACAGGTGGGGATGAGGTGGTGGCTAAGCTGCGTGGTGTCTCGTATGGCCCCCATGAAGAGAATTATATATATAGATGTTATAAACCATAATGCTTTTAAAGTTTACAAATATGCTACCGAAAAAAATTAACAAGCACATTAATAAACACCCAAAATTTTACAATTATCAACAATGAAATCAAAATATTTTTGTGACTTTCTTTCTGTGACTTTTTTTTCGATAAAATTTTTCTTTTGTGACTTTTTTCTGTGACTTCTTTTCCAGTGACTTTTTTTCTGTTCACGTATTGGCTATATGTTGTTTTTTCATATATTGACTATATAATTAGTCAAAGTAAAAATGCACTTTTTTTTATAATAAAGCATACAACCGAACAGTAACAAGCCTGATTACTAGATCTAGTCTAGGACGATTTTACGTACCTATAACTAAAACGATAGATTACCTGCCTATCCTATAGTCTATGGTTACACTATGACTCACTATGTGACTATAGTTAATAGTATAATAGTCTAGTCTAGTATAGAATAAATTAGAATAATAGACTAGAACTAGATCTAAATCTAGTCTAGGTCTACTACGGTAGTCAGTGTAGAGTACTGTAGACTAGTGTAAAGTACTGTAACTGTAGACTACTGTAGAGAGTGTGTAGGACGTAGTAGGTAGACTAGTAGTTGAGTCCAAGTAGTAGTCTAGATTACTAGATTGCTCTAGTCTAGATCTTGCTAGAGTGTAGCTAGTAAAGTACTAATAGATATAGTTATAGTAGCTAGATCAGAGTAGATTTAGAAATCTAGATCTAGACTAGAGATTCTAAATCTAGATTCTAAATCTAGCTAGAACTAAATTCTTTCTAGCAACTACTAGATCTACTAGTATGGTAAAACTCCATTTTAGCGTATTGTATTCGCCCCTTCACGTTCACCTCTAGTTGAGCGTATTTTATTATATAAAATACAACAACCAAAACACACAAAAACGTTAGAAAAACACTAGGATTAAGTAGGTGGTAGATTAGATATGGATCTACTTATTTTTTTATGAATGTGTGTTTTAATTTGAAAAGGTAAAAAAACATTTTAATTATGCATTAGGGCCTACAGGTCCAATTAAATAGCATGTGATTGTCGGCAGGAGAAAAATCCCTACATGGTGAAGGGTTCACTGTGAGTTCACATTGACTCTAATTATCAGCATACATCATATTCATAGCTTAGGGCAGGGTCATTGTGAGTTCATATATGTTTATTTATAGATCTAGTATAATGAGTGCGAGATATTTTTAACAATACAAACTTAACCTACTTGCATTTAAGAGTTTCTCCTAAAATGACACAAACCTATTTTCAAGAGAAAAAAATAGCTAAATCTAGTGCACATTCAAATTCAATATTCCAAATTTGGATTTTTCTCAAGTTTTGACAAAAAAAAATTAAACAAAAATTAAAACAAAAGTTGGTAAAGTCATGATAAAGCGTTGGTTATTATTCCGGAACTGTACAGTCTGAGTGTACAGCAGTAAAAAACAGCAAAATGATGGCGTAGTCTGTCGAGCCGCCCCGGAAACCACCAGAAATACTGTAAACCATCATTTATTTGCCACCATATTATTTTTAATACATAGTTTAAAAATGTGCAAAGATTGACTTTAGTTGCATTTTAAATACTGTTTTGCTAATTATTTTGTATTTCTAATTATTTTAAGAGTATGCGCTAGTTATTGCTGCTACTAAACATTGTTCTAGTTCTTCTTACTACTTTTAACTTTTGTAAATCTAATTGTCTTATTTTACTAACAGAACTAGAATCTAGAGCTAGTTGTCGCAAATCTTCTGCAGGTTTTTTTCTGTGTTTCTTAAAAAAACATTAACTACTACACTCGACTTTATTAACAATATTCAGATTTACTAATTGTTGCTAATTTTCTGTCAATTAAACATTAAATTAAGTTAAAACATTAATTTAACGAAGTGTCTACTCGGAAGTAGATTTTTCTCCCCAACGTCTCCACTTAGTCGGCAAAAGATAGCTCTGCACATGCGCAGTGACCTATGGCTAGGGTTAGGGCTAGAATGAGGGTTAGGGGTAGGATTAGGGTTAGGGATAGGATTAGGGTTAGGATTAGGGATAGGATTAGGGTTGGTGTTAGGGTTCTGCTGTTGTAAACACACGCATGCGCAGTACCACCGAAAACATCGCCGCTAAGGCAAATCGTAGTTTCTCTCCATTGCGCATTCGTATCTTATTCCGGCTAGAATCGGCCTTAATTTAATGCACTTGACTCTATTTTTATTTCAATGGTCAAATAAAATATGGTTTACTTACAGTAACGAATATTACAGAAACTCAACAAACATTACCAGATAATTTCAGACGCTAATATCGTGATTTTACCCAAAAGTTCATAAAGAAATAGATTCTAGAATCTAGATAGATTAGATCTAGAATCTAGATCTAGTGTTTTCCTAACATTTTTGTGTGTTTTGGTTGTAATATAATAAAATTAAAAATAATGCTCAACTGGAGGTGAACGTGAAGAGGGGAATAAAATACGCTAAAATAGTACTAATTTACTAAATCTAGAAAATCATAGTGTGTGTAGCTATCTACTACAGTAGACTAGATTCTATACTAGAATCTAGTGTAGTTGTCTAGTTAACTACTAGATCTATATCTACTTTATCTAGATCTATCTATCTCTAGTCTACTGTCACTGTGTTCTGTGTAGGACTGTAGGAGAGGTGAGAACTAGATCTAGATTCTAGAATCTACTACACTGTACACTAGTGTGAGTGTACTGTACACACTGTCACTGAGTCAACAGACTCAACACACGTTACACAGACACGGTAATCTATCGTTTTGGGTACGTAAAATCGCCCGCGGCTATTAATGTACGAAAACGTTACCTCATTGTAAAGGCTGTAATAGAAGTATATTGTGATATGTTTGTGTCAAATATTATAGATAAATGAATAATAAACCTAAATCAATGGCTAAATATATCAATATAGGCCCGAAATTAACTTTAAACAGCAGTGTCTGCAAGCAAGATTTGCTATATATTAAACAGCAGCCATTTGTAAAATAGAGTGACTTCCGCCTGAATCTTGCGCTATAAGTCTATAAAAATAAAACTTTAACAAGATGGCTGCTATAGTAAATGAGCATGGTTGCATCTGTTGGAAACATCGCTGGTGTTCATTTATTACGGAAAAGTTTTAATTCAATTGTTTAGAAACAGGTACATAAATGAAACAAGTAAACATTTTTGTATTTTTCAAAACATAAATCCTCCTCAAAATGTGAAATAATTATTAAAATGTAAGGAGTCACCTGTTTTTCACATTACTAGTCGCGGGCGATTTTACGTACCTAAAACGATAGATTACCACAGACACTCAGTGACACTGGTATAAAAAATCATCCCTACTACTAGATTCTAGATCTACTACTAGATCTAGATCTAGATTAAATTAAAATTATATAAAATATAGTTTATAGTTTATAGAGTCTAGATCTAGATTCTAGTTAGATCTAAAATAGGACTTCATTTTTTTTCAATTTGTTTTTGTCTTTACTTTTTAAAAGTAACTTTGTTTAGCATACAAAATAAATATTGAATATGGCGGCAGGGTTAAAGACACCCAATCAAAAAATAGATCTATATTTAATATGCAGTTGAAGACAAATAA